GCTTCAGACAAGGGCCACGAGCAGATAGTCCAGATGCTACTCGCCGCCGGCGCACACCTACTCGAAGAAGAGGATTCTTCATCCAGCTCAGCAAGTTCTGATAATGAATCTGACGAATCGCCTCCGGAAAACACCACAAACCAGGATCTATAGATCCTCACTCAGCACCTCCATCCAGCTCAGAAAACAACACCACTGGCACGGGGTAGAAGGGACCCGTACAACACGACTACCAGCCTCAACTCAACCTGTCACTTCCTCTTCCCATATCGCTACCAACCCTCTCAACTTTTCTTCCTCCCTATCCACACCGGCAAGACACAAAGAATCCACTTGGAAAGACTGGGGCAGAAGTGTAGCATCGCATTGTTACGCGTGGACGATCAAGTCAAAAAAAACAAAGCCTCAAAGAATCAGAGTTTCCTTCACCGTCCCAAGATCTTCGTTGGTGAACATGACTATTTTTCTTGGAGCAGAGGAAAGCAGAGAATGAAATCGGATTTCTGGGTGATGTGATGGATACGGATTTGTCGTGGATGGCTGCAACGTGGTTTCTATGTTTGTTTTTCTCTGGGAGGGTCCTACGAGCACATCGGACGGAGTCTTGGTGAATTCATTTTTTCTTTGTTTTTTGGGATTGATTGTTTGGTTTACAAGTACACTTTGTGGGGGGGCGTCGGATATAGATCTGAATTTACTTCGAGTATGCTGCAATTGGCGTAGAGACGACATACCATCCCCAATGATGAAGACTTCACATATCCAACAGCTTCGCATGCGTAACGCGGTCAGCGTCTCAGACAGACGAATCACGTTGCTAGACTGAACAATCATGCGACAAAAGTGTGCGACGACAAAGTCACAAAGTTAGGACAGAAGAAGAAGGAATTTTGTAAGGTGGTTCAGCAATGCAGTATGGAAGAAGACCATGGGACATTTTATCAAGACAAAAAGAGGTCTATTCCGCGCACGCAGTCGCTAGTATATAATGCCATATCCCCCTGTATTGTTGTACATCACCACCCAAACACAACTCAGCCCAGGCAGAAAAAAGCCATGACGCATATTGCGGGGAGCGTTTAGAAAGGGTTGTCCTCGGGAGGAATCTCGTGTGTGAAGAACTTGTCCAGGACGGGAATCTTCTTCATGATATCATCGCGGACCTTGGGAACCTCGGCGAAGAAGAAGAGGGCAAAGAAGCCGGCTACACCACCGAATCCGGCAGCGAGAGTACCGCTGTTATGTGGGTTAGTGGTTGGCGAGAGGTCAAAGTCCGGGGAACGTACTATCTCGCGACGGTGCCGACCGTGATGCCGTGGTAGTTCTTAGGGATGGTGTATCTGCGCCGCATGTTAGCTCCGGAATGCTTCGAGTCGCAATCGGCTTGTCCCAGGCATGCATGGACATGGCGCTTTTCTCCTCCTCTTATGCCTTGCTCAAAACAGGTACTCGGTAGATGAATTTGTATTTCCATCACACCAGCCCTCCTCCTCTTCCTCAGTCCCCTCTCACAAACCCCTCCACCGCGCCTCCCAATGCCTCATGCACGCCCGTGTATCGCCGAAAATCCAGGAACATACGTACTGGGGACCGAAGGGACTCCTGTAGGCCTTGTAGGAGCGGCGCATGCTCTATGTCGTCCGGTTAGCGTTTGCGTCATACGAACCCGCACCCTCGGCCAGCCAGCGTCTCAATGGCTCGGGAACAGCGACTTACGACAGCAGCGGGCGTCTTGGCATGGTGGGGGAAAGATGTGGAAGACATCTTGGGCGGATTTGTCGTGTGGTTGCGATGTTGGAGACGAAGGGCAGGGTGGACAAAGTTGAAGTTGCTCGGCGCTGCTGCGCGGGAAGCAGGGCTTGGCGGTGGAAAGTCGACGAATGAGGCGCGCCGGGATTTTGCGGGTGGTCAGCGAGCAGCGACTTTACTTTTGAACTTCCACCTACTGACATTGGCTATATTTCTGGACGACATGATGTAGGTTTATTATCGTACTTGCCTATGCAGTAATATTTTTTGACTGTGCGTGCGACTGGATTGAGATTTCAGGCTCAATCGAATCAATTTGTACGTACTCATTTTTGGAATAGCATTTTGTTGCAAATCACAGCCTAGGTGCCTACTGTTTTCCAAAGATCAAAAGACATTTTAGACCAAGACCTCCAACTTTACTCACATCAATTTGCGGAACAAGATGGTGCCCTCATTCCCATTGATGAACCAGCAACACCTCACGTACCACAACACAGATGTACCATAATTTTGGTCATTGCTTCATTTTCGCGTGACTCGAACAAGCCGATCAAGAACTATCATGTCGTCTATAGACGCTGTCTTGACTCCATCTTGCTTTCACATGGATCCCAAGTCTAGTTGGTTGGTAGCCTTCCGACCACCTCAGCCATTTCCTCGTCGGTATAGATCCTGAAGCCCTTGTCCTTTGTGACACTCGCCAATTGCACGTTCTTACTATCCAGCTTCTCCTCCATGACCTGCTTCAGCGTCTTGAGCGTAAGAACCTCGGCCTCAGCCAGGGTCAGCGACTTGTGGAACTCGTTTTGCAGCTCTGCTTGCGCGCCCTCGGATCCGGAGCCGATAGCTTTGGCATCGTAGCGGTAGAATGTACCAGAAGGCTCAGCGTGGTATCTGCAGTCTCCGTTAGTCCCAATTCCAATACCCAGACTACACTGTATGACGTACAGACTCGGGCCATCCTCATCGTAACCCGCAATCAACAGAGCAACACCAAATGGTCTGCTCATGATGCTCTCCTCACCCTCTGCACCCTCACCAAACCTCAGCGCCAAATCGCATATCGCTTGCGTGCAACTCTCGACTCGTAGGGGCTCGGCATAGTTGAAGGCGTGGTTCTGGCTCTCAACGCGGGCATGCTCGATCATGCTTCGTGCATCGGCTTGCAGTCCAGACATGGCACAGCCAATGTGGCGGTCAATCTCGACAATCTTTTCAACCGAGCTGGTCTCGAGGAGGGTGGAGGTGACGCGCTTCTCTACACCAAGGATTACGCCCTCGCCTGTAGCTACCTGTGGGTTGTCGTGAGTCTATGCCGGCTGGCATGTATAGATACAGAGCACATACACCTATTGCTGTTGATCCAAGCTTAATGGCTTCTAGAGAGTATTCGACTTGGAAGAGACGGCCTTCGGGCGAGAAGGTGCTGTGTTTGTGAGCGGGGGTTTTGGGTGTAATTGCATTGGGGTAACAAACTTGATGCCGCGGTCTGAGAAGTAATATTAGCAAGTGTATAATCAAGTGGAGATATTGTAGAGACTTACCATATTCGCTTCGTGCTATGAACTGCTCATGTCAGTAAAGAGCTCTAGCGGGGGCGCGGGGAGACGCACCATGGCGGTAGTTTGTGCAGGGAAATCCTCAGAAGTCGCGAATTGGAGCTACAGATGTGTCTCTCAAAGAAAAGCAGAGAGATCAGGTATCAAGACGACAGTGTGGTGTAGCAGAGCTGAGTTGGCGACTTGGTGTTTCTGAGCTTGACGGAGCTGCAAGGCAACATGAGCCGCGACACGGCGCTAGAGCGGGCTGCCAAGACTTGCGCCCATCACCACTCGACTCCGATATGGGGAACTCCAGCCTCGCCATGTCACGTGCCTCTCTACCAGTGCTTGGACCGGGTAGTGTGGTCTATTCCACTATACGCCGTCTGGCTCATGCGCAAAGCACCGCCACCCAGCCCTCCTAGTCGTCGTACGAATACCTCGGGTGATAGTTGCACAAGGCTGTATCACTGCAAATTAAGGAGGGAAGGATCAAGCAAGGACAATTTGCCAGTGGTGTTCGATCTAGCCTTTCACAACTATACGCGTTTTTACGTATGAAGTAGTGTTTACTCATAGGCGGTCTGGCTATGATATCTACCGTTGTCTGTATAGATGCTTATCGATCGGTTGTGGGCGTGCAGTGTCGTATAGTTCGGACCAAGGAGTGCCAAGTCCAACTAAAAGACAGCCAAACAGCTAGAAGACTTCACATGCACCTTGGAATAACTCATTGTCACAAGCCATATACTTTTCATCATCGACTTTACCTCTCGCTTCTGTCGTCTGCGCGGCTTCTAGACCCGACGATTGTCGGCATGGCTCAAAGTCCGAGCCATGTGTTAGATACCATGTCTCCTGAGTTCGGACCAGGTACTCCGTACGCTATCCACGTCACTATATTCCCGCCCATTATACGGTTTGCAAACCAGCTCGCAAAATCGTCCGTATGCATGCAACATAACCCAAGTAACACGCGTCAACCAACGCTACGACAACCAGGCCATGTGTCTATGACAAATCCGTATAAGGAGGGTTGTACGTGGCGGGGAAAAAACGATACTTTCTTACATATAGGTGCAGATATCAATGAAAAGGCTCTCCAAGCCCAACGCCAGCTGCCACACACAAGACATGATGTTGCGCAGGCAAATCCCATGATCCGTTCAAAAGTCTTGCTCCCCGTTCGGCAGCCGGTGTCAACGAGAGATTATTTTTATCCCAGGACAAGGGGGGGGGGGCACTTGACGTAGGCTGGCGAGGCGTTGAAGTATTGCCTCCCCACATCGGCTAATTAATAGCGGAACCCGGGATCAAGAAACAACCTCCTTAAAGCGTTTGTAAAAGGCCCTATGACATCAACAGTCGGGTTTAACAGCCGCAAGAAAAGGACTCGATACTGTGGACGGTGTAACATTGGAAAACAAAGACTCTTGATGCTATCTCTCTTCCTGTTTTCTCTTTCACCCGCATAGCAATAGTTGGAAGCGATGGAAAAACCGGGGGTGATGCGCCATGTTCGATCACCACAAGCATTTACTGATGCTCATTCGGTACGGAACATGGCCACTAAATCCGCCTTTGCCCCGTGCGGCTAATGCATGTCCGGAAGCAGGGCCTAGGTCGCCTCATGGACATGCAATGGGCAACTACGCCCCAAGCCAGGATGGATGGATGGCAAACGTCACTGGCAGATAAATATTTGCTTTCCGCACCCTCTCTTTGTTTCTTTGCTCATCGCCCTCTTCGGCTTTCCCTAATAACCGTAGTTGTAATTCCACTCGTTCATATCCTACTATATTCCTACAACTTTCGTTATACCTAATTCTACTACACAAACATGCGTCTTTCATCGACCATCCTGGCCACGGCGGCCCTCCTATCATCTGCCAACGCCGCTCTCAAAGGCTTCAACTACGGCGCCCAATTCGCCAATGACCAGCCCAAGCGTCTCGTCGACTTCGAATACGAATTCAACGCGGCCAAACAACTCCCCGGCACCAACGGCTGGACCAGCGCCCGCCTATACACCATGATCCAGCACGGCACACAAAACTCCATCATCGAAGCCATCGAAGCGGCCATCAACACCAAGACGACCCTCCTCCTCGGCATGTGGTGCTCCGCCGGGCAAACAAACTTCAACAACGAAATCGCCGCCCTCAAAGCCGCCCTCGCCAAATACGGCACCGCCTTCACAGACCTCGTAGTCGGTATCTCGGTCGGTAGTGAAGACCTCTACCGCATCACGCCCACGGGCATCGAAAACAAGTCGGGCCCGGGAGCCCAACCCCAAGAACTCGTCCGTTACATCCAGCAAACGCGCGACGCCATCCGCGGGACCCCGCTCCAAGGCAAGCCCATCGGCCACGTCGACACATGGACCGTCTACACCAACGGCTCCAACGCGGCCGTTATCGACGCCCTCGACTTCATCGGCATGGACGCATATCCCTACTTTGAATCTACACTCAGCAACAACGTCGGAAGTGGCAGCCAGCTCTTCTTCGACGCCTACCACAAAACACAAGCCGCGGCCAAGGGTAAGCCCGTCTGGGTCACTGAAACCGGTTGGCCTGTCTCGGGCAAACAGTCCGGTCAGGCCGTTGCTAGTCCCCAGAATGCCCGTATCTACTGGGAAGATGTCGTCTGCCAGCTTGTCAAGGATAATGTTCCGCTGTACTACTATCTCCTTCAGGATGTCCAGTGGGGTACCCCCTCGCCTTCTTTCGGTATTAAGCCCGGTGGTGATCTTATGAGTGTTAAGCCGTTGTATGATCTTTCTTGCCCTGCAAAGAAGAACTAGATCAGGCGGGGGTTGGCTCAACGAGTGACGGTGGCGGATCTGTCGGGGGAGAGCAGCCTGGAAGAAAAAAAGGTAGTTGAAGCTTTTTCTGTGTACATAGTTCAAAACACATTCTTATGAAGTAAAAAAAATCACAATTAGACTTATTTTACTTACCTTCCTTATCTGAAATATGTGGTGGTGATGAAAAAAGTGCTTGTTTCGTCTCTGTTCTATATCATCTGCAGGAATACCAGAAATGAAATAGAGTAAAAGCACACCAGTGATTCTCTTACCCCCGAAGTCCTCTCGCAACTCCATCTCTACACGAGATAAAATCAAACGTACGGTACTCACACTTGTTCAGGTCTATACTTGTAAAAGTTGTGCCGTTAACCTTTTTATCAAACAAAGTTCACACAAGTCCCTAATACAAAGGTAAGTTAACAATTGCAGTCACCTGCCAACGGACCGAAACGACAAATAAAGAATTTCAAATAACTACTGTATTTTAAACTTCGCAAGAATGATACGAAAACAACAACAAAAGCTACTAAAGTTCTAGTTTACTAAAGCAAACCCCCCCTCCTTTCCAGCAACACCAAAAAACTCCAAATTACCAAAAAACTTATCCTCCCCCTCCTTGTTCTCGCTCGAGAAGGGGGAAAAACTAACGGTAATACATGCGGTACTACAACCTCCCTTACTTTCCTCCTTTCTTTGTAACGCACCACAGACACTCTTTGAAAAGCCAAAAGAAGAAGAGGTTTTAGACTAGGCGGATGAGTGGAAAAAAAAAAAGAATGTAAAGAGAGGTTCTGGATAGAAATCATATGTTCGTATTCACATTCATGCGCCTCCCGCTCGGCCGGTAGTCGTGGCCGTTGAAGGCTGATCATTATTCCAGGTGAGGTAGGTGTGGTCACCCAATTTCCTAGTCTCCACATTAGCAAACGCGCATTAATATCAACAAGCCCGAAAACACTAACCTGGGCTTGACAAGATGTGTAGCAAGGAAGACAGCACCAAGCAATATGCAAAGACCACCAACAACCAAGTATGCAATGCCGAGGAAGGGATTCTTGCCTCCCATGACGGTCCTGGTAGAAATCAAAATCGACTTTGTACCAGCGTATTTGTCAACGGGGAAACCTAGGGTAGGGGATCAGCTTGTGTCATTTGCATGCATTGGTGCAGCAGCAAACGTACGGTCATAAATCTTCAAACGATAAGTACCGGCTCTCAAGGTATCCTTGTCGTTGCGCTGGTAAAGTTTACTGAAAGTCGGCAATCCTGCCGTTCGCATCCAGACTTGGAATTGCTCCCAGGTGTGCAGGTCCGGCAGTTCATCGGTGTATTCTCCATTGGGATACTGCTCTTGCCAGTTGGGGGGTGGAACAACATCACTGGGCTTGTATTTGGTCTTGCCATACAAATCCCCCTCGTGGCTCCATGATGTGCCCTCGACCGTCATGTTGTATGAGTTGATTTCATTGCCATCTGCATCCTGTACAGCATTGTCCAAGGTCAGGTTGCCAAAGGTGTCGTTGAACATGGAATTGGCAATGAGTCCGCAGGGGTAGTAGGGCTTTCCGTTGGGCGCTACAGCCAAAGGATCACAGTCACCAGAGTCTAGAGCGCTGGCACTCCTGGCGTCGCCCTTGAGCTGCTGGATATCAACCGACTTGACGTATCGACGGTGGTTCTGGTAAAAGTTGGTGAGGCGGTAGTAGAAGAGAATCGGTGGGGCAATATCGGCCGGGATAGTAAAGCTCAGAATGCACACGTTGGTCTCGAGGGTGACGCCCTGGGGCTGGAAGGTGTAGTTGTCCCGCGCCCAACCCCACTGGGGTGCCGTCTGCATCTGTTTTCCGTTGAAAGATGCGGATACTCTGCCCGAAGGAATTGGCTCGAGGTCGTTGCCTAGACTTGCATTGTAATCGAGCCTAGCTCGAGGCGCCGTGCTGTTGCAGTTGGTGTAGTCGATGGAGATCTCCTGGACCTGCGCACTAGCGTAGATGAGCAGCCCACCGATGGGCGCGAAGATGACTCCGACAATGAAGAAGAGCGGAAGGACCGTCTTTGGGGTTAAAATGGGTCTGTCGCAATGTCAGCCGTAATTCGTCCTAGAGTCAGTTTTGCCCCAACGCACTGCCATGCCTTTAGACGCTGTTGTCTAAAAGCAGTATCTGTAGTCGCGTTAGCACCATCGTCGCCTGCGCACTGCAGCGTGCGTGTCCAAGGCTCTTCTTACTTGGTGGCCTCTTGCTCTTTGCCTTCTTCGGCTCGTCACGGGCTGGGTCCTGACTGTTTATCGAGTCGGTGTTGTCCACCTGCTCTGTTCGCGACATTGTGCTGGGTGCGCGCGAAGCGAAGTAGCGGGCGGGTTTGTGGGTGGGGGTATGTACAGTCGTTGAAGTGTAAGAGGTGATGAGAAGGCGCGGGTTGGAGCGTCCGGCCAAGGCGTCGTCCCAAATTAGGTACAGAAGAGGCCGCGCCACGCCTGCGGAGCTTACATATCCCCGCTCGCGTCCCGGACCCGAGACCCTGAACCGTCCGTTACGCGGACGTAGTCAGGAGATGAAGCCCCAGCCAGCATGACCTCAAACCCTGGCTGCAAAAGAAACGTCGAGTATCGTCATCGGTGTGCAATTCATTGCGAGTCACATACATGATGTATCCATCATATTCACCAATGCACTGCAATCACACGCCGTGTATCTAACAAAAATAATTGTATTCTGGTCTAATACTACCAAAAAGGAAAGCCTGCATGTGCGGCGTCAAGAGTCTCTGAAAAGATCTGTAGAGTATCAATTCATGTGAGCTGGGGGGGGGGTATCGCATGCCGTAGACAAATAAGATGACGAGTCACAACAACAGGAGGAAGAACAGCAACAAAGACACAAACGCCAAAGGGAGGACGGCGGCCAGTCCCAAACGCCTACCCATGCCAATAAACAAAGACCCTTGAAAAGAGACAGGGATGGAAAACGCCAATCATAAAATCATGCCGAGTGCGACAACTGTCGCATCAATCAACTCGGAAAGAGAACCGACTCATGCAGCTGGGGCCGTAACGATGCTATGCGCAAATTGGGGCATCGTGGAAACAAAAAGCTCTCCATCGAAGGAGGCGGATAATGATAGAAAAGTACCGTGACTTTGTGTATGCGTGTGTGTGCAGGTGGCGAGAATTGTAGGTAAGGTTCTTAGAGGTATTGACGGAAGTAGTCTGGGTTAAACCAGCCGACGCGGTCGTACGACTGCCACAGTTTACTGGCCTTGTTGACGTCAATTTTGCAGGCCTGCTGGGCGTCGGTCTTGCGGAACTCCTTGCCGATTCTCAATGCCTCAATGCGAGCCTGGAAGATGCGACGCTTGCTGGTGAGATAGGTGGCACAGTTGAGGCGCAGGGTGCCTGCAAGGTTGAGTTCAGCCTCGTGCAGCAGGTCGCGATCGGGATCGTCGGCGAGTGAGAGGGCCTGGCCCTTCCACTCAGCCTTGAGAATCTTGGAGTTGCCCTTGGGCAGCGTGTCGAGAGGTGGCGAATAGTCTGGGATGGCATTGTAGTCGGAGTCGTCACGGTTCGTGGCTGGTCGCGCAGGCTTGGGGGAGACCGAGACAGATGCTGGCTTTGGTGCAGGGTCAAATGACTCGTAGACCTGTGCAAGGGGGCTGCGCTTGGCCTTTGGAGCGCGAGGAGTACGGGGAGGTATCCGGGGAAGAGCGACCTTTGGCTGGCGGGCTCTAACGGATGGTGCAGGAGCCAGCTTCTTGAGAGCGGTGCGCTTTTGGACACCGGTGGGACGACCGTAGTAGTCGTCGAAACGACGCTCCTGAGCCCACCAGTGTCGGGGGTTCTTGGTGGCCGAAGCAAAGACGTTTGAGCGGAATGAAACGGCCAATTCGTAGTCTGCGCGCGAGGGCTTGGAGTGCAGGCGTGCGTAGTCGTGCGACTGCATGTGGTGGGTGATGGCGTCTTGTTGCGAGGCTGAGTCTGGTGAGGAGGAAGAGGAAGGAGCTGAGTCCTGGGGGAAGAGCGGTATGTCGGCAACGGAGAGGGTAGCGTCGTGGGCGACGAAGAGCTGAGGGTCGCGTGAGCCGGGCTCTGCGACAGTATCCATGGTGTCCTTTTGGGAGTGGGAGTCGTATGGCGAGATTGGGGGGGAGACGTAGGCGATGCGGTGAGTTGCTGCCTGGCAGGCGCTGAGGGAGGCGTTTGTCATGGGCTTCAATTGGACTGAATTGAAGGAGGTGTTGGGCGATTGAGTAGAGGCAGAGGCAATTGACGAGCCAAACGACTCTGATCGCTTCATCTCTGGGGGGGAGAGGAGGGAAGAGACGGTGAGGCGGGCAGTTGGGGGTGTCTTATGAGGCGAGTTTGCCATTGCGTAGTGTGGTCAGAAGGTTTGTGCTTTGACTAGAAGCGAATGCCCCCGGCGGCGGTAGCGGTATTTGAAGGGGGAAGCGAGAGCAGCAGAAGGCTGAGGGAGCGATGATGGTTTGCGGGGAGGGGGTGGAAAATAGGGTAAGTAGCAGAGCCAACTATGGGTGGGCTCTGGGACGAGCCTACGGCGTTGCCACCGTTATATCGTCAGAGAGCAGCAGGCAGCGAAGGTTGAGCGTGGAAGGCGGCAGAATTGCCCGAAGCAGCGGCTTATGCAATTGGGGCGGGCAGGGCGATTATTAGTCAAACCGCAGGACAGGGCAGGACAGGTCAGGATGGAATTAAAGTAGCAGGGCTGTGGCCGTGGCCGTGGCCGTGGCTGGGTGACAGTGCGGAGTTATGGAATCGGAGCCGGGGAGGAGGTGGAAGAGTGTGTGGTGAGTGGACTACTGGAAATAGTGGCCAGAAGCAATGCAGCAGCAGCAGCAGATGATGATGATGATGATGAATGCAATGGCATTTGCATCTGGGAGGCAGAACAAGCCAATCTTGCCGAAACCGGACGGAGTTATAGCCAGCCAGCAGACGGGCTTGGGGCAGCGGTTTCAAGCAGGCTACAGCATGCGAGCCAGGCCGGTGTGACTCTGGCTTTGAGACAGACTGGCGGCCATGTGCTAGCGGACCAGACAAAGAGGGTGTGCGGTTGGCGCGTGCCATGCTGCGATCCAGCCCATGCCATGGCTCAAAGCCGCTTCCCTCGTCCATCATCATCCATCCATCCATCCAGCACAAGCACAAGCACAAGCACAAGACAAGGGCGCGCGCGGCCGGGAGCGGGCAGCGACGATGAGTCCTTGGTGAGGAGCGGCGAGGCTGACCAATGCCCTCGGCCAGCTTTACATGCCGGGCGCACTTTGCAGTCAGAGAGACACTGGCTATGCGCGTCCACGGCTCCGTGTCGCCCACCAAGCAGCGCCAACCCCGGCTGGGCGGTGACGGGCCCCGTAACCGTAATCTCTCAAAATACAGTATGCTCCATTTCCATCTAATCCCTACTGACCATCTTACTGCCTACCTACTTACTCTATGCCGACCGCCTCGTCTATACGCCGCCGCCGCTGCTTTGCTGTCTGTCTCTCTCTCTCTCTCCCCCCCCATTGCGCCCGCCCTGCAACCCATTGAGCCTGCCAGAGCGGCTGCTTTTGCCATTGCACCCCCTAGCCACCCACCAGTGTGCCACAACAAGGCCCCATGGCTGCGTGGGAGCCTGCAATGCCACATTCCCACCCTCTCCCTCTTCCTCGCTCGGCTTCCGGTGGAGGAGCTGGGCCACACGGGCTTCCGTCATCAGTCTCGGTTGCCCTTTTGTCTATTACTAGACCCAGCTACCATACTGCCTAATAAGTACCGTACATGCGGCTAGTTGGTGTCTGACCGCCATGGGGGTTATGCAGACATGACCATGGCTGCAAGGCCAATTCACACCAATTGCCTGTCTTGGCCCCCGTGGCTGACGACGGTCATGGCAAGCATAGCAAAGGGGGGGGAGAGGGGGCTGCCCATGCTGGTGGCCCGTCAGCGGCGGCTGCCGACAAAGCTGTTGGCCACGGAATTCCATTCTAGTCCTTCTAGTCAGGGTCTTGTGACTTGTCTGCTTGTCCCCATTCTTGCCTTACTCGCCTTCCATTTCGACGTCTTTCTCTCCCAAGCGCTGTAGCCAGCGCCACCGCCTTGCATGTGAAAGCCTCCTCCCACCCCTTAGGTCCTCCCATCACGCTCAGCTGGACAGCCGACGAGGTCATCCACAGCCCGGTGCCTATTTCACGTCGGATAATCCCAACCCATGGCTACCCAAGGCTGCTCACGAGACGCGGCCCTGTCGACACCATCTCGTCTTGATGGTGGGTTGAAGGGTTCAAGGGAGTGGGTGGTCATGCTCATGCGGCCATGGCACCAACCCTGGCGAGCGCGTGTGTTATCGTCGTTATCGCGCTGTGGGGGAGGAGGGGTTCACGCTGCAAGGCACCCCTTCGACACGCGCCCGCTAATTCCCGCCGCTGGCCTCGATTGTCCTTGTCGCATTCCATTCTTCTTCTTCTGTATTGTAGTATTCACTGCCATTGTGCGCATTGCTGTGCCATGGTCGCTGCACGCATGCACCTCCTCCCTACATTGACCATGGCCTTTGCAACCAGCCCCCCATTGTTGCTGCTGCTGCTGCTGCTGCTGCTGACTCGGCGCTCCCCGAAATGCAATGCACCACAGCCGTCAATTGCAATTGCTCCCTACCCAATGCCTCTCTGGACTAGCGGCCCGATCTGCGCTCCTCGACAATATCCACTCTTGACAGCTGGTCAGCCGATAGGCCAATGCAGCCAGATGATCCCGTCGTTCGCTGCCCCATCTTCTCTTTCAGATGATGCGACCGACGCCTTTGGGGTCCCTGCATCCGCCCTACCTGCAACCTGCCACCTGCGAGCACAACAAGCAAAGCCTGCTGCTTGTCCTGCTTGTCCTGCTTGTCCTGCTTGTGCTTGCATTGCTCGCTTCAATCACATCCTCTCCACATCACATCCACGTCGTCTCTGCCTAAAATAGCCCATCCACTCGATCGCCAGCACAACCACGGCAATCAATCGCACAGGTACACATGTACAAAAGGTACGTATACATGTCTACGTACCTCGCGACAAAAACAACTGCCCAGCTTCTAGGCCCTTCGGATCCAATTGCCTTCTCCGCATCGTGACGTAGCCCATTCTCTCTAATCAATCTGACATGACATGCCTGACTACGCAAGCCCCCCTGCCGCCCATGTCGCAATTTGTTTCTGGTAGTGAGAAAGTCAATGCCATGTCGACTTGTCTACTACACTACTACGATACTACCATGCATGCCTTCACGTGCTTTTCGCGGACCAAGCGTTGCCCCCATCTCAACTCAACCTGCCACCATCACCGTGCTGTTCCCCCCACATACGTCATATCGCCAGGACAAGGGGCCCTACACTACACACCATGTGCCCACACCGATAATCACCCGCAATGTCTCTGCCCAAACTACCTACCAATCGTCGATTCCTAACCCGGCTATTCAATTCGCTAGCTGCACCACCAGCCCCGTCATCACCTGATGCCGCCGCCTCGCTCACCGACGACGCAGACGACAAGCACCACCCCAACCCCCTCGATAGCGTACCACCCGCGGTCAAGAAACAGCTGCTTTCCTTGCAAGTCCTCTTCCCAACCGAATTCATTCCCGCGCTAGACGTCCTCGACCGCCGCCTAGTCACTCGATTTCGCATCCGAAACCATCCGTCGTCTCCTTCTGTCCATCGACAAGACGGACACCACCATGAAGATGCGGTGATGCGACTAGGCGGTGACGACGACAACGACGACGACGACGACGACAATGATGAAGAGATGCACATGAGTGATGATGCAAACCTCAAAGACGCGACGTGTACATTTACCACAAAACACACCTCCCTCCCTCACGAAGAAGCAACATCAATACCCGTACATGTCACAACCACAACTTCTGCTTACAACGACAAGACCAAATCATCAATCTACTACGTCCAATCCGCCCAGCACCACCGCTCCTCCCGCTACTCCTCTACTTTCTCCTTGTCCTCTGATCAACCCCCAACCTACCAAGTCCGCCTCACAACCTGGTCCTGCTCCTGTCCCGCCTTCACTTTCGCAGCCTTCCCTGCCACTCCTGACTCTCCTCCTAGCCAAACACACCCTATTCCCCATACTAACCATGACAAGGAAGAAAGCGATGAACAAAATGATGACACGGCACAAAACCCCCCCTGGATCTTCGGTGGCACAACGCTAGGCGACGATATGCCCCCCGTCTGCAAACACCTCTTAGCATGCCTACTCGCCGAAAAATCTAACAATCTCTTTGGTCGCTTTGTACACGAAAAATGGGTTTCTGTACCTGAAGCCGCAGGATGGGCTGCTGGATGGGGAGATTAGAGAAAAAAAAAATCATGTTTTAGATACTTTGGATGTACATGTAATGCTCTCCTGCTCCTGCTCCTGCTGCTCCTGCTCATGTTGTGATACCCCCCCTCAACCAACCAACTAACCAACCAACTAACCAACCAACTTTGTTTTTTTTCTCTTCGTCTTGTTTCCATAGCAAAAGGCATTGATTCAACAGAATCAGACTACATCAAGGATAACACCCTTTTTTTTTCTTTTTTCTTTTCTTTCCCCTTTTCCATCAACATATGCTCAGGCAATACGGCATTATCGCCATTCATCTTGTTTTAGTACTGCTCGTTTCAAACACAAACCCTTTTTGTCCATTGTCATTGTCAAGATTTATGCAATAACATACACGATAGCATACTACTAACATCATGTCCTTTGTTCATTTCATGTCTAATCATGCCAAGCTCATGCAAGAGAAGAAAGAGAGAAAGGAAGAGAGAAAGACCCCCCCTCCCCCCCCTCTCTCTCTACTCTTTTGACAATGTCTCTCTCTTCTTCCCCTCTCCCCCAAAAAAAGGTTACGAGGAGCTTATTGTACACTAGTACACCTGGTTGGCTACAAGGCTCCATCATCTAATCTCATGATCATCTCTCCCCGCCTCACTCGCCTCACTCACTCCGCCTCCCTTTCAGCCCTTCTTCTTGGGCTCCTCTTTGCCCTTTTCCTTGCTCTTGTCCCCTTCCTTGGCCTCGCCGCTCGCCTTGTCACCCTCCTTCTTAGCCTCCTTATCCCCTTCCTTGCCTTCCTCCTTCTTGGCCTCCTTGTCCTCTGCTTGCTGCTTGTTCTGGATCTTGTTCTCAATCAGGTCGTGGAACGCTGTAATGGCTCGGATCAAGCTCGATAGGTAGATTGCCATGAGTTGATCGTTCGTCTTGACGCTCATGGCACGCGCAAGCTCACCATTGTCCACACCGCCCGCTTGACCCGCCGCTGATCCCACGCCATTGGTCGCACCACCTACTGGTGCAGCCTTGGGTGTCGACAGGTTAGGCAACAGGTTGAACACATCTTGGAGATTACCAAGAATCGCGTGGTTCACAGGCAGATCCTCGTCAAGAACCTTTTGTAGATATTGCCCAATGTCTCGTAACCGTAGATGTAATCCTTGCAGCGACTGCAGTTGTGAGGTTATGCGTGTTGAGAGCGTGCCGACAGCCACGTCGCGGATGTCACGGAGGAGGTGCTCGACACCAATCTCTTCCGCCTCCTCAGCCTCGATTATCGATGGCGTGTGCACAAACGTCTTGGAGGTTGTTGTGCCGTCCTAGACTTAGAATTAGCATCGTCTTCCATACACGTCACCCCACCAGGTGCATTGCTGCTGTGGCAACAATAACCCCGCTGAGCCAAGTGCACTCACATCCTTAATCTCCTCAACCGCAAAGTAGGCGTCTGTCGGTACCCCCACCTCCTTGGGCTGGACGTCGATAATGACTAGTAGCGGGTTTGGTGTGTAGCGCTTGAATAGCTCGTTGACCTCGAGATCCGACGCCCTCAGCTTGGGTCCAGTGTGATACCAGCCGATGAGCTTCTCCCGCGCGTTGATCTTCTTGAACATGTCGTTCATCGACTCGACGTAGTTGTGGTCCAGGAACCATACCGATGGGTCCTTTTCGTCTTCCTCGAATGGCACTGTAGCCCAAAGTTAGCTCATACACTCAACGCTTCCCCGCCCTCGGGGCGAATTGCTCAGGCGGCAAACTGCGTCTGGAGAGGGGCTACACACCCGCAAAGCTGTTGGACACGCGTACGTTCTTGCCGTCATTTTGTCCAAGAAGTACACCGACTACTCTCCTCTTGGTGCCCTTTGCTTGTCGGCCGTAGTGGTCTGCTGCCGAAAGAAGCACGAGCGGCGCGACCGAGACGTTGCGGGTCACAAGCGACAGCGTTTCTGCTGTGGTGGCGGGCATCCTGATGGCGTGTACCCAGTATTGCCAATGTTTCTGTTGGTTGTCTGGGAAAGAAGATGGCAGTGGTGGGTGTTGACGGGGCGAGATGATGTCGTTATTGTTGATGCGGCTCTGCGATGGCCATCTACGTACTAAGCTTTCGGGACTGTGAGATGGTGAGTGGGTCAGAGCTCCGCACTACTACCATAGCTCACCCAGCACTGACATAACCAACCCCAGAATTATACATTAAATCACCACTGCATACAGCACTCGCGGCTACAGAAACCACATAACATTTCAAAAATTGGTATCTCAAGAAGACGTACTAGTACATACTGCAGACCTGCAGAACAGAAGCGCAAACTGGATCAAGGCCGTGCAATGGCCTCGGAGTATCTTTGAAAGAATACAACCAAAACAGAAAAATAAGAGGCGAATACTACGGGAAATAGGGCTGCAAGACTATTCCGTGACACTGAAGCTCCATGTCGAACATTACCGTATCATACCAAACCACACATAGCCAGGACAGATTATAGAGTAGCAGTGGGGAAGTAGTACTGATCCCAGAGGAACTCGTAGTCTTCAATAACACCACCGACCATGTCAAGAAGAGGCTTGCCCTTGAGCTTGGAGGTTATCGAGTGGATCCAGGCCCTAGGTACATTGTTAGCTACATTCACCATGTTCAGAATTCGTCGTGACTTACTTGGTGATGTTCTCGTAGAATGCGCCGCGCATCGCCCACCAACCCATGGACCAGCCCCGCTTACGTAGCTCTTCTCTCTCTAGGCCAGTCAAACCACGGAGTCCTCCAGCCAAGCGCTCCTGGAAATCCTTCTTTGCAAGTTGACGAGCGCCATACTCGATGCTGACGCCAATCAACCACGGCCGCCAGCTCTTCCTGTCGCCGCTAAAGTGCTGCATGGCCAAGGCATAGGCAACGGGTCGCAGAATGTAAAGGACCTCGGCAAGCTCGCCCTTTCCACTCACTCGATGCAGAAGCGCCTTGGGTGGTTTGATGTCGTCTGCTGTAAGTACCTTGGAGAGGAGGTAACTCGAAATGTCCGAAGAATCTGGCAAACTAGGCATCGACAGACCAGTCCTGGGCATTGCCCAGTTCTCAGCCTCGACCGAACGCTCGCTTGGTGGCGTATCCATGCCATCCGCCGACGCCGATGACTCTTCAAGAGAGCTGGGGTCAATTTCCCGCTGAGGGAGCGGGGGAGATAGGAGAGGGCGGGAGTTTGTCAGTCGGAGCAGCAGCAATCGGCATACTGCCTTTACCACTTCCAGCAACACCACAACCCGCCATCGTACCTTCTCGCCCTTCCTCTTGGCTGCCATCTCCCACAGCAACTCGGTATATTGAATCATCTGGAGTACTAGCGCGATTCGCTTATACGTGGGCGAGTGCTGTGTCCAGAACTTGGTGTATCGATGATGCGGGGTGACAGGGTGTCGTCGCGTCCCTGGCATTTGCGCCATGGCTTTGGAGAGGAGAGAGTCGTGGTATAGAGAAAGGACCTGGACGCCGCTATGAACTATTCGTGTGTCAGTTGAAGGAGACGCGCCGCCAGCGAGCGCGCAACATACGAGACTCTGATGCGATTTCGGATTCCCGGAAGCGTCCTAGGTCTTGTTAGCATCGTGCCAGAAAGTAGTCCCATTGAGCCATGCGCACCCGGAATGATATATGTCAACGAACGCAGTGCAGACTCAATCTGCGTCACAGCGCTGCTGTTTTTGGTGATGAAGTCCGAGTACATGCCCAGCCATCTCGGGGGCAGTGACAGCACCTCGCCCGTCTTCTGTGTTGCTTGCTTGTACATGGCTGCAGTCGCCTCAGCCAGCGCGCTGAAAGGTGGCGCTTGTGCGACGTGTACGTCGTGGTGTTGGTGTATGCACGTGAGGACAGGAGTCTGGGCAGGGTGAAGTCATGGACTCGTTATCGCGTGCCCGGCAAAGTACCGAGGCTCCCGCGGTTACTCTACCCCGGATGACACCTCCGCAACATCATTGCAGCTTCTACCCCAGAAGACATTGCGCCCAAGTGATACAAGCCTTGTTCAACGTTCAATTCATTTCAGTTTATAGGTATTGCGATTGGCCAAAATGAATGAAAAACAAAGGAGTGCCTCCACCGTACACGGAGTTCGGCTCTTCCATCGCTGCACATGACCATTAATGGCATCATCTTTCTCTTCTGCTTGTATCTAGCCAACTACACATCTGTAACAAGTCGGCACACAGTAGCGCGTCTGCCTAGAGAAAACACCAAATGTGGCTTAGAAATAGAGCCGACTGGCACGTGACTACGCGAAGAAGAAAACCCAACTTCCATCTCCACGCGTCCATCTGAGCGGGAGAACATACACGAACGCAAAGCAATTGATCCTATTTCCACCATGGCGAGTAATGGTCGAACTACTCTCCCTGTTCCGCAGGTACCCGTCCAGGACAGCGACAAGAAGCTCTTTGCATCAATCAATTCATTCGTCCACGAGTACATGTCAAAATACGACAACTCACACGACTACCAACATATCCTGCGCGTCTTGTCCAATACCAACCAAATATTTCAGGCCGAACTAAAGTCCAACCCCTTTATGGCTTATGACACTACTTCACTGTTCCTCGCCGCCCTTTTGCACGACGTGGGCGATCACAAGTATGCAAAACCAGGAGAAGACATCGAGAACCAAATTGCCAACACACTAATTCAACACGGCGCATCTATTGAACTGGCCCAAAAGGTTCAAACCATTGTGAAGAACGTTTCCTATACGAACGAGGTCCGCGACCCTGCTCGCGTCGCTTCAGTGATTGGGCAGTATCCGGAGCTCGCTATCGTGCAGGACGCCGATCGCCTCGACGCCATTGGTGCCGTAGGAATAGCCCGATGCTTCTCTTTTGGGGCAGCAAAGATGCCCGAGCAGCCTATGGACAGAGCGGTCAGCCATTTTGGTGAAAAATTGTATAATCTCGCAGGAATGATGAAGACGGCTACTGGCAAAGACATGGCGAGGAGAAGGCATGATGTGCTAAAGGAGTTTGCAAAGGAGTGGGAAGAGGAGACACGCTTAAGCTTCCAGCTACATTGATTATTATGGAGCGGATTAAGCTTCCACTACACGATGGCAAATCAGTCATTTCAGAATACCGAAGGTGGAATTGGAATGGCTTCCGATTCACAATGCTCATCTTATAAGTCCGATACCAGATTGTCTTAAAGAGGAATGCACTTCGGTGCCGTGATGTGAATAAACTCTGGCCCTGACGATCGCTCAAAAATCCATGTTTGTCCTTGGTATCACACCACTTTGAACTCGCGCATCTTGGCCGATGAATGCAAACGGGCCGAATTACATGCAAGACACTGTCGTACAATGTTGGCTGGTTATTGCGACACAAGGCCCAGTGTCTTCAAGAAATCTTTGGGATGGCATCCAACAAGAATAGAGTCCAGTGCAGATGGGAAAGGCCTGGAAGCATGGCGGTACAATCAAACGTGTTACTAGACTTTACAAAGCCAAATGTACAGGGACACCCGGAAGAATATCCCGCCAATGAATGAATGCTGCGTGACATGTCCGGTTTATACATTTAGCGGACGCACGGTTGTCCGTGATTAGCATCCCAAGTTCGGTCGCGCATCTCCACACGCTACGTGCTCCTGTGAACCATTGCAATTGGATCCGGAACAAGGGCAGCGGCCATACCTTGCCGTTTTGTAATCACTGGTAACGGTCTTCAATGCCTAGTGAATCTGGAAGCCAGCAAGATCCTTTGGTGCGCGCTTAACGTGGGGACAAAGACCGAATACTACTAATGTAAGTCTCGCCGAACAACCAAGTCGGGTGTTGAACCATCACCGGACTGCCATATGGTCTCTCTACATAGCCACAAGTTACTATCGTAACCAATTGAAGAAAAGGGCCCATTCAGCTACAATTTTGAACGACAAATGTCCTGTATGGAAAAAAGCCGCATGTGGAGAGAGGACACTTGTTTACCGGAGAGAGATCCGATCATGATTTGCTATGCGCCCGCTACACTTGAGGCGGTAACGCTAGCAGCCGCAAAGAGTGGGCTTCTGCATGCGTCTGTTAGTTATGCAGCCCTCCACTAAAAGCTACAGGGAAGTGAAACGCACCATGGAGGGCAGAGGCAGTGAATTGGCTGGGAAAGAAAAGGGATAATATATAATCATGGGTTATAAAATCATAAGCATGCGATTCAGGAGGTCTTGAGTGTATGACTCGAAGAGTAATGACAGAGTTTCCGTGGTAGATTGTCCCAAAAGGAAAACGCGAGAGTTCGCAGGCAATGGCTGACGTCTACCTGGAAATGGGGAAATGGAGACATTTGATTGGCGGGACGAATTGCCGTATCCCAATCGACAATCAAAATTCCTTTTACGCTATCCAAAGACTGCATAACCATGGGAAATAGATATTTAGAAACTCGGTCTCTGGGATCTGGTTCTAATCGTCTTCAAGTTTCTAGATCAGTAAACAAAAAATAATCCCGTCCGCCCATCGCCCACACGAGAACCGTTTGCCGGAACATGCGCCCTCTGCGACCACTCCTCCCGTCAGCCACGCGACCACGAAACGAACCCCTTCCGCCGCTGCCGCGAGACCGCGTCGCGTCGGCCTGCGATCAGTGTCGAGTACGGAAGATACGATGTAACGGAGACCGTCCCGTGTGTCTCGAGTGCACCAAACGCTCCACCTCGTGCCACTATGCGACTCGCTCAGCGGAAACCCAAGGCCAAGCGCTGAAGCGAAAATACGACGCCCTGCACGCTGAAAACGAAGCCTACTCCGAACTCTTCAATCTCATAAAGACAAGGCCAGACGATGAGTCGCTCGAGATCCTGCGCCGCATCAAGACAGGAACTGACGTCAAGGATGTACTCAGGCGTATCAAAGAGGCAGACTTGCTCATGCAGCTCAATCCGTCAAATCCGGAACCGGATGTCAAGCACCAATATACCCTCCCACTTGTCTCGGGTATTCCTGCACACTTGCTCAACCCGGATCCAGAATACTACCATGCCTTGTCTGCCGCTGAGCCCGCTACTGCCGTTGCCGCTGCCGCTACCGGTGCCGAGCAGAGCAAAGCCGCTTCCTCAGCTGATTGTTGAACGTCATCCCAAGAGGGAAAAACAAAGAAGCTTGCATACAGCCGGCGGCTGAAACAACACCGTTTCCAACTCACTGTACAGTGTTTTTCTCCACAGGACACCAAGGGAAACTGTGATCCTTGCCGTCGGTTTTTTAGAGAACCATTTTTCTGCACACCCCAGCGGAATTCATAATACCGGTGGCTTTTTATTTTAATCTCCAGACGGAAGTCTTTTATTATAGATGGAGTCGGGAGGAAATGGGGAAGAGAGGGAAGCAAAGCACAGGGGTTGCAGCAGATGTCACTTTTGAAATGCTTGATTGGTGCGTTCGGATCATGCATTGCTCTGGTATTCAGCCACCTAATGTGTTCAGTACGCCTGATGGGTGGCCGCCACGGCCCGCTCCTTCATGCTGGGAATACCTGGGTGCTTTAATAAGGTTCATTGAATGGCCCACTAAACAACCGCCGTCAACGGTTCATCACCGCGTTGTGGGGGGCGGGGAACCGGTCTAGAGAACTATCATACAACATACCGAAGCTGGGGGCTTAAATAATCTCGTCTTAAAAAAAAAGTAGTAAAAGGGGAGAAAATGAGGTCGACCAGATTTTCTTCGAGCCAGTAAAAGTTAAGATCAAAGAACAGGCGTTTAGGTGGACATCATACAGGGTCCTGGCAGAATTTGCTTGCGTCGTGTGTTCCTTGCAAGACAAAGCAGCATTGATTCGCAGGTGAGCGTGTGTAACTTTCCCTTACAGATTAGTACAACCTGTACAGCAGCATCACTTGCAACCAATCATCGACATCCAAACGTGTATGAATAATATTACGATTTTTTTTTCCTTTGACGGTCCTATTTTTATCCTCTAGGCAATACACGCATAACTAAGACGCGCGATAATTAAACATCAACAACAATCCATGAGGGCATGAAGAAGAGTATTTCTATTTGTTCATTCTCATAAGAATTCCATCTATCGCATCCACTCAAGCACCGATGGCCTGCGGGTTCCAGAAGACACCCTTGGGATCGACCTTTGCCTTGAGCTCGGTCAGGCGCGCTGTCACCTCCTCACCATAGTACAGCTTGTGAGCAGTGGCAGCATCATACGTGGGATCAACGTAGTTGAGATACGCGCCAAAATTTGTCTGAGGCTCGGCATTGATGATGGCATCGTTGATGCCGTTGATGAAATCCTTGGGTGTAGCGCCGTAGCCCCAGTTCTGGAACACCCACAGGCTCTTGCGGTCGTCGTAGGCGGCGAAAGAAATGTCCTTCTTGTTGATAGCCGAGCCGGGTCCACCGTACAGGTTCATGATGATGTACCAATCTTGGGAAGTACCGGACTGAAGGTGGTCGTAGAGCGCGCCAATGGCCTCGGATGTAAGACCGCTGGATTCGGGGACAGTTACAGACTTGGCGAAGAAGTCTTCATGCTCATCGTAACCAGTTGTGAGTACCTTAATGGTCGTCTTGCCGGAAACCTTGACTAGGTAGTCGTACCAGGCCAAGGACTCAACAGAGGGGCTAGAAGGTGTAGGGAGACCGCGGAGAAGCTCAGGCTTGATCTTGTTGTTGAATTCATCGACAGTACCAAAGAAGGCGCCGCTCAGACTGTAGCCGTTGTAGCCGTCAAGGTAGACACCAAATGAGATACGGTTATCCACAACCGAGCTGTTGGTAGCCACATCCTGGAGGTGGAGGAAGGTCTTGGTCCAGACATCCTTGGAATCGTGAACGCCCTGGAAACCAAACGAAAAGTACGTGATGCTGTCTGGGGCAGCATGGGTCTGGAGATAGAACTTGGTGACGATACCGAAAGAATCAGCAGCACCCCTGATAGCCCAGAAGAGATCAGGCGATTCGGTAGCTGACACCTTGACGAGCTTACCATCAGCGGTAACAACCTCAGCACCGACGATCTGGTCCATAGCAAGACCCCAGTTACGCGAAGTTTGACCGTAGCCTCCGTGGGTATAGTGGCCTCCGATACCTACGCCAGGGCAGGTACCCTGAGCGAGTGCAGCCTTGCCTTGGTTATAGATTCCGTCACCAAGGTTACCCAGGCGGACACCGCCTCCAACTGTTGCAATACCAGTATCCTTGGCAAGCTCAATAGTCTGGAAAGACTGAAGGTTGATCTGCATGGCGCCATTGATACCACCGGTGTTGAAGTTGGCATAAGAGTGACCACCCGACTTGGCCTGGCACTTGATTCCTTGCTCACCAGCGCAGACAACAGCATCTTGGACATGCTGTTCAGTGGTTGGCAGGACAATGACGGCAGGGTTGAAGGGTACGCGCAAGTTGTAAGGCTTTGCAAGATTTGCGTATTCCTCGTCGCTGCTCATCTTGAAAGGCACTTCCTTTCCATCCAAACACTTGACAAGACCCTCAGGTGCTGACACTGGTGAAGGGGCCGGAGTTGAAGGCGAGGGCGAGGGCTGAGGGCTGCTACCATCGTCACACGTTCCGAAGCCAGACTGGCATCCAGTTCCACACTGCCCGCTGTTAGCCTCCAGGTCGTGTTGCGCTCCACAAGCTACTCACCCATGCCGAACCGGTTCCGCACCAACCGTATTGCGAGCAGCAATCTCCAAACGCAGAACCCTTGCACGTAAGACCGGCAGTTCCGCCGCATGATCCGTCAGTCGAGACGTCCCTCCTGTCTAGCACTGGGGTGGGCGTGGCCGATACGGCGACGAGGCCCACGGCAAGAGGAATGAGAAACTTCATTCTGGTGGTGAAGAAAAGATTAAGGTTGTGCCGTGGGGGATGGCGTCAGGTGAGAATTAAGTATTGATTCTACAGTCAGCAAGATATTACCCCAACCAGGGGTAGGGGGATAGTAAACAAATTAAGGAAACAACGGCTTAGACGGAGGAACGCACGATGCCTACACTAACATGTGATTGTCAAGGCCGTGAAGAAGAAGCTTTGCCCAGAGGGAAAGGGTGCTTTTAAACAACTGATCTGCGGTGGTAGTCGCCTCCTTGCCGTAGCCTTGTGTACCTGCGTCAGGCGTATGCCCTGTCGTCGATCCACCGGATACGACAAAATCTCATCAATTACTCCACAAGCCAGCACCCAATTCTGATTGCTTAAGACAGCGCGCATTGTACCCATCGTAAACTAATGGGCGGCCTAGATCCTAATACGAGCTTACTTCGCCGAGCCCACGGCACAGATAGCCGCGACGAAAAGCAATCCCTGATCCTCGTCGAAAAACAAATGACCAAGACATGTCCAGAGGAAAGCCACAATGTTATACAGCATTGAGGAATCTTATTGTGTGTAGTACATTGTGCTAGAAGACACCTTCGACGTGTTTTGAACACGCGCGACACAGCGCCGTCGGTCGCATTAGACTTCCGGTAATTTGGTCGCTCGAATTCCGAAGCACTGATTCGCCACCTACGACATGAGAGGGTGAAGAAAAGCCGTCAAGGCTTAGCTTTGGCCGTTATTACCTTGGTTGTGGAGTATAATTAGCGGGCCCGAGTGGATGGCGGTGCCAGGCGGAAGCACGCCCCCACTCCGACCGTCTATTTTTGGCAGCCCAAAACTTCCAGAAAAGGAGACGCAGGACGCCAATCGACATTCCCATAGGTGACGTACATACTACTCGTATATGTCGAGCGGGTCAATACTGTGGTGGCTTGCAATAATGTAGAATGTACCCTCTAGTATTGTAAATGTTGCAAAAAATAGACAAGATACGATGAACGCCTGACTGCCAAAACAAACCCTAAACTTGAACCAACAAAACTACCCAAATTCGGCACTCCAAATCTCTCCAAGTCAACAACTCAAAACTCCACCAGTCCTCGTGGCTCATTGGCCGTGGGTGGGTCACCTCTCTGCCAAATCACTCGGGTGATTGGCGGGTCACTCCCATCAGTGGGGTCGGTGCGGATGATCCTGTCTACCTTGTCATTGCGGGTGAGTGCCGGGAGCTCCCAGTTCTTCCTGTAGTATTCTGTCAGCTCCATGTCACTATGTCTCGAAATCAATACGATAACCTACCAGGTGTTGTCTGGAGGGAGCGTATCGAAGTCTACATCGGCTTTCGTAAAGATCCACACTTCTCCTTGACTCTCCATAGCCATAGCCTGACTGAGCAATTTCTGATAGCTAACTTGTCTGCCCGAGCTCAATGCTGACCCGATAACTGCTTCGTAACGTTTGTCCACGATATCATCGAAGAATACAGCGCCAAGGTTATCAATCTTCGGGTTTGGGACCGGCGCAATCAGGTCAGGGTGCGTTTGGACCCAGCACTTGCTTGTCTTGATCGCCCCGCCTGCTCCAAGAAAAGTGTAAAAGGCGGGTCTTCTGGCAGCTACTTGGCCCCAGCGCTGGATCTGAGCTCGCAATTCATCGAGCGGAGGAACGCTACCATCGCATGTCGTGGGGCCTATATCATCTTCTTCTTCTTTGCTGGGGAAGCAACCGCGGCGAACGAGATGATTGGTGGTGACATTGACATCTTCGACGTCTGAACCGTACAGGACATGCTCAATCTGTCTAGGAAGCTGAATGTTCGTTGTAACTGCTGATATCAGTATGTAGGAGTGTATAAAAGTTCACCATACTTACCGGCATCAGGAGGCAGAGGAGCGGGTGCTGCATTGGTAAACGGGCCAGCAGCACTCCAAAGAAGTGCAAGAGAGACTGGGAACGCAAGAAGAGATTGGAACCTCATGCTGTGCTAAGAATGGGACGGGATGCAATGAAAGACAAAAGTGAATGGAGGTGCTGTTGCTAAGGAGATTGGAGACAGTGTACTGATGTGGATTTAGGAAGATATCCAGATGTCGTTATATGCTCTTCTTTCCTTGTCTCTAAGCGCTGAAGACTGTATACTGATTCTATCTATGAAGCTTACTACCAAGCCACCCCACGAAGTCAGGCAGGCCGTTTCATGAGCGACAAGGATAGTGTTGGGGAAGTATCTACCAGGGCCGTACTATACAATCTCTCTACACACATTTCCACTCTGAATCTAGGCCACGAGATCTAATTATGGCAAGGCACTTTCAATTGATGGTAACGCTTAGGGCCAACTGCCGTCTTCATTCTACATACTCGAAACCAACATATTCCTTCACGAAGGGGCCAGTTTCTCCTGGCTTTCAGAAGCAGGGGTTTCTACGCTACTACCGGGTTTGTTCCATCCGAACAGCTTCTTGGCCTGCTCAACCACGCTCGACTTCTCATCATGCACGTAGTCTGGGCAATCTACCGGGTCATTCTTGTGCCAGCACAATTTGCCATTGCGCTTTTTGTGCGATCGCTGATGGATGATACTCCCAGGCTCTCCTTCCATTGTTGCACCGTGCTGTTCAAGGATTTGTATCACCTCAGCTTTCTTTCCAGGTATTGTCGTATCTTTCATGGAGTTGAGAAAGTACAACACCTGACTACAGTTATTTCACATATTCAATTTACCACAGTACGAGCAACTTACTGGAGAAAAGAAGATGCGTCCCTCGTTAGCATTGTGTCCAAGCTCTTCTAGGCAGTACTTTAGGACTGGAATGTCGCCCGTCATTGCAGCAGCGCCGACAACATCCCCAGTTTCGCCGCAGTCCCAGTCCTTGGTCTGTGGGAAATGCTTGAGGAATGCTTTGAACATGGGAAGCCCGGAACGGGAGGCAGCATCGTGTGGGTGTCCAAGCCAATGCTCCTGTGGGGGCCATGTTGGGTTGTCTTGGACTACTCGGTCGAACTCCTCAATGTCTTTGTTCTTGATTGCCGCAACAATCTGGCTGTAAATTTTCTCGGCGGTTGTAATATCCATGGTATCGTTTCAAAGTGATCTTAAAATTGTGCAAGGGATTTGATGGAAGAGTAAAAGTTAAGGCTCCAGGTTGAAGTTGTCAAGGGCAAGTGGTGAGTTCTTATGTCAGCGGGGTGCTTTAGCCGCCCACGCCTCTCATCCTACTACAAGATCCCTGCGTTTGTTTCCCAGAAATAGCCAATAATTTCATTCTCCAAGGGCAGGGTACTTTTAAGGCAAGCGACTCTCGTTTCAAGTGTATACAAAAATACTAACATTCTTTTCTACCACATCGAGTACCTGAAATAGTGTGCAATGTTGTGCGCCTCGCCCCATGAGTCTTCCCGAATACCCGGTGTAACTTGGCAGTGATGGATCGAGAATAGCTAGCAAGAACGAGCAATCAAGGAGTTGGATCTATTCAAGGACAGAGGTAAGAACATTGTATATATAATGTCCATCATCTCCAGTGTATCAAGTATCATTCAAACAAACACACCTTTCATACATTCTCAGCTCTACTCTCCTTTCATCTAGCATCATGCATCGTTCCTGTTCTTCCGCACTCCTTCTCTCTCTTCTCAATAGTTACCTCGCCGAAGCTCGCCCAGCCCCACAGGCCAATCCACCTCCATGCCCGACAATTGTGAATTTGCCAGAGGCAACTCTCACTCTTAGTCCAGGTCCATCCGATGTCGTTGTGAATGGCCTTCCTGATGGCGCAACTTCAACAATCTCGGCCAATGGACCAGCCATCACTATCGGCCCAAATTTGTTATCGCTAAATGCAGACAACAATGTCAACCTCAACGGCTTTGTGTTCTTGTTCAGCGACGATATGTGTCCGAAGCTGGTCATACCAATCACCAATCCAGATCCTGTGCCTGGGGAAAATACAGATGTTATTCCGCCAATTCCAGGACCAACTGATACACCTCCAGTAGACCCGGTACCGTTGCCAGATCCTAGCCCAGTGCCAGAACCTATCGAACCTACCCCAGAGCCCGGTCCAGTTGAACCCATTCCGGAACCTGATCCAGTGGAGCCTGTTCCAGTTCCTAACCCAACTGAACCCATTCCAGTTCCTGATCCAGTCGACCCTATCCCAGCTCCTGACCCAGTTGAGCCCATTCCCGAGCCGGATCCAGTGGAGCCTATTCCAGTTCCTGACCCAGTCATTCCCATTCCTATACCTGGACCAGTTATTCCCATTCCAGTGCCAGATCCTGTCAACCCCATTCCAGTGCCAGATCCTGTCAACCCCATTCCTGTACCAGATCCTGTCAACCCGATCCCGGTGCCTGATCCAGTGCCTGACCCAGTCGAACCCATTGATCCAACCATCACACCTCCTCCTCCCCCGCCTAACAACGAAGATCCCGATGATTGCGAAACCCAGACAGCAAACGTGTGCACGCAAGGATGTAGCTTCGGCACCAACGACCTTGGAATCACGACAACCACCTCATGCAAAGATCCCTCTTGCACAGCAACGACAGCTTGTGGCGTCTCCGATTCTACCACTACCACAACCATCGAAGCACCAGCCTGCACCCTCGACTTGACCGACGGCTTGATGCCGGGCTACCCTTTCCCCGTCGACGGCGACGGCCCGCTCCCCAGAGCCGACGCTCCACCCAACGTGCCCGCCCCAGCTGATCCCCAGCCCACACCTAGCGAACCAGTTGATCCCGCCCCAGAACCCACCGATGCACCTGTCGAGCCACCTCAGGAGCCCGAACCCGAACCTCAACCCGAACCTCAACCCGAACCTCAACCAGAGCCTCAACCAGAGCCCCAGCCTGAACCTGAACCCGAACCTCAGCCTGGACCCTCACCCACCGACCAAGTCTACCAAGCCGGCAAACTCACCGCAGGCGACGGCACAGAATCCATAGTCATCTACCGCAACCCCCGCGACTCGCCCTTCAACGTCTGCACCGACACTCCGTTTTACAAGGAATCAACGCTCGTAGGATTGTCCAAACGCTTCGACATTCCTGATTCCGACTACAAGAATTGCGACTTTGTGGGTATTGGGTCTGATCCTTTGGGGATTTACTGTGACGGAAAGGAGAGGCTGCCGTGTGTGGTTGTGGAGGGGTCGAGCTTGAACATGTGCTTGGCGGGTAATGGGGACACGTTTAGTGTTACTTGGAAGTGCAATGAGTAGAGTAGGAGTAGCTTGGGGGAGAGGTTTAAGCGGTGTTTTAGTTGCTTTGGTTTTTTGGGTATGACGAGGACGTTGGGGACTAGAGTGGTACGGATTGATTTCAGTGCATGTTTTATGGAATGTCGGAGTACACGGTGTTATAGGAATTAGATTGATTTTTTTTCCAGAGACTACCAGTGCTTCCATTGCTAATGTGGGAAATTCCATACAATATGTAAACAACCCGGAAACGCCAAAGTTACTACATGATTGCCCCCAAGACCTCAAGTGTAACAGTCTACACATTGCTCGTATCAGCCTCTCGGCTCCACTGGTGCAAGAACTCCTCCTTCATCCACTTCAACCGCTCCTCGGCCATCTTCCTCCCAGTCTCCGTCCTCATAGCCTGTACATATTGGCTCAAGTAGTCCTTAATCAACTTGCTGACCTTCTCAGTCGAGTCCCAACTCTCAGGTGGAAGTCGTCCGTAGAACGTGTAGAACCGAATGATACCAATCGCGCCCATTTCAGCGAGCATGTGCGCATCTTGAATCACGCGGTGAGCGGGGTACTCGTCCGAAAAGACCTTCATGAGGCTGACATCGTATAGTTGGATTTCGACTGTAACGCGTGTGGTGATGAAGGCTACTTGGCGACGGATTGGTAGCGGGCAGCCGTAAGACTTGAGGAAGTAGTCAATGACATCAAGTTGATCGCATGTTTTCTCTGCTGCTCTAAGCAATTGACTGCTCACGCTGTGTACCATGCATGAGACCCATATGATGAGGGGGTCGAGTTTGCGAGCCCACTCATGATGCTTGACTTCTTTGTCGAGGATATGAGCGGCGTTTGAGACAATGCGGCGGATGTGTCCGTAGTTTTGATTTTCCGAACCGTTTGAGAGGTCGCGTACAGCGATGTTGACGTCTGTGAACCACTGGCGATCCTCAGGCTTGATGTTCAGGAGATCCAAGTTGAGAAGTGGAATGTGTTCCTCGGATGATCCCTGGTAGTTACCGCCGTCTCCTTCCATTGGCGATGGTTCGTCATGAGGTACAGGGAGCTTTTTGGAGCGGCTTCTGCTGGGGCTAGACAAGCGGTGGGAAATGGACTCGATAAACGACTTCATGGTGACTTTGTCTCTGGGAAAAGGGATAGGGGAGATGGAATACCACGGGTATGGTTTGTGATGCGGTGGAAGAGAAGAGTTCGGAGAGGGGAAATATATGGTGGTTGGATAAGAAGCAAGTGCAAGGAGTGAAAGGTGTAGGGCTCGTTTGTAGTCTGAGCCTAGGTTGTACATGAACACTGCTGGAATGAACGCGATTCACGATGACACAATGGTTGGGGAAGTTTATGTCGTAACCATATCTTGTTATTGTTATCAAGTGAGATGTCGAAGAGAGCTTTGCGTTACTCTCACCAAGGATTTTGTTCAATCTGTTGCTAGCCAAACTTTGTGATGGAGAGAATCTCGAGCAGAGTAGGAGTAGCTCCAATGGGTCTGAATGAAGTGCTGGAGATAGTGACAGGCTGTATTGTATCCGGATCTGTAAGAACTACCCAACGTGAAGAGGAGGTTGAATCAAATCCAGGGGATATCATATGTCTGCATATAGAAAATGATTGAAGGAACGGTAGTCATAGGAGATGGACTAGTGTGAAGTGCCGGTGCATATTGATACATATTTCTTCGCAGTTATCCATTAAATAACTGTCCTGAAACGTACTATTACAGAGGCCTAAAATTCTCAATAGTGAAAGACGTCTTCATATTCCCGCGCACAAGCCCCACTTTGAAGCCGCCCATGGATCTGGGCTTATGGCCCCAGGGTTGAAGGCAGCCAAGATCACGTGCACGCTAGCAGTTAGCGTCTCCCTGCCAGTATATAAACCCACTGTCCCCCCGTCCCCTCTTGGATTCCTCATACTTACCTTCTTGCGACGCACTGAGCTCATGTATTCAGTGGTCTGACTCGTTCGCCTGCATTGCACAGCGCGGTGTGGATAAGTCACGAGCTTCCTTCGGGAATCTCGGCGGGGCAATTTTTGCTGGTCGCATCTAAGAGTGCTCTTGTCCTTTTCATTGAGTCTTCTGGCTTGACGCCAGTTGCTTGAGGAAGATGGATGTTGGTGTTGCAAACGCGTACGACGTGTGATGACGTATCGTACGTATAGCTTGGGCGAAGAACGCGTGGCAGGCTTCATGATATCTTCCGCGACCTTGATGCTGTACGCATTGGACACGTACTACGACACGCGTTGAAGCCAGAGATAGGACGTGGCGTCGGGCTTGATGGGCTTCTCCAACAGCTGGCAGCCGCCTTGTTCGTCATCGTATAGACTTTGTTCCTTCTTTCTCTAATTCCTCTTGGCCAACAGCTCGACAGCTCCAGCGCGTGAGCTTGCTATACGCGTGGAAACGCCGAGTCTTGCGACCGGGTCCTGCAAAGTCGGTCTTGTCAAAGGCCACACGCCTGCTGGATCTACGTCTTACAGCATACGACAGCGTGCATGTTCTTATGTGAATCATCTTTTGTATCTTTCCGTATTCAATCACCTGCGGCCTTGCTTACATCGCTAGCTCTCAGCGAGTCTGGCGCAGCAGCCTGACCTTCCTCCACTTCCAGATCAGCATCCTCATCCGCAGACGCATCCTCTTTCCCACTCTGTTTCGCTTCCTCCAATGCTCTGTATTTCCTCTTCGACTTCTTCGCCGCGCTTGCCTTCTTCTTACTCTTCTCTCTCGCCTTGACCTTTGTCCTAGCATCCTCTCCTAGCTCCATCTCCTCAATGCGGTCCTGCAGGATTCGTCTTGCCATCTTCCGATTAATCTCTCTCGACCGCGTATCTTGATATTTAACGACAATGCCTGTGGGGATGTGCTTGAGTTGCACGGCAGATGATGTCTTGTTGATTTTTTGACCACCGGGACCAGAGCCCTTGAGAAAGTTCTCTATCAGATCTGATTCAACGAGTACGGGCCGTGGCGGAAGAGCTTTGGAGAAGAGCGCAGGGGTACTGTGGAATGCGGCATGTTGGATACAGACGGAAGGAGATGCGCGGATGAGGGCGAGGCGGGGCATGAGCGGATGAATGTGCATTTTTCAGATCTTCTAGATTGGAGATGATGCACTAGCAGTAGCATGTCGTGGTAGCAGCATTGCCACACGGAGAAAACTTTGTTGGCCGTTGTTGACCAGCAATGCGACTTGACAAATTGTCGTGCGCGTCATGAGATGAGTGGAGAGCGGAGCAACACGCCAGACCCCTGCTCCAAATCCGCTCGGTCCCTGAACTGGTCAATCTCCCCTTCCTTCACCCACGCCGATTTCCATGCCATTCTAAATCCGCCGCGCGCCGCGCCCCAACTACTTACGCAAATCCCTCGGCCGAACCCTTTATTAAGTCGCCCTGTAACTACGATTTCCTATGGTTGACACGACATCCCTCGCGACAGGCGTCCTCTTGGCTTCGGCTTCCGCACTCCTCCTTGCAGCCATGCTGTATCCCTCGACCATGCTGCGCTGGTTCCAGCGCAAGCGATACCAATATGAAGTCACCTTCTCCCTATACATGTTGACGTCGACCGAGAAGTTCATCTTCAGTACGTTCCTCCCACATGTGTGTGTGCTTCTGGTCACCGCCAGACACCCACACCCCTTTCCCTTGCCTTTCCAGCAGAGACATGGCGTGAGAACCATGAAAGACAAAAGACATCAATTAACGTATAATTACAGACTCTGTGCTCTTCCTCCTACTCTCTCTCCTCATAATCGCTGCTTCGCTATACCTCCCCGAACATCTTTCCATCATCGCGAATCGTATCCTCTACTATGTATCTGGCAACCAACAATCGCTCGCCAATGACGCACAGAAAATGAGCGTATCACCGAATGCTCCCCTAGGAGATTTCCCGGCCGGTGGAAGGGCCTACATGGAGCCATAGAACGACGGAGGACATGCCCGCACGAATGAGAGTAGCTACACTTGTTGGGAAATAGAGGGGGTTATGGCGTTTAACAATGGAGCCTTTGGAGATACATGACAGGGTCTTTTTGAAGAGCGTAACGAGCAGCGAATACGCGTGTATGGAAGAAAACATCAAGGCAGACGGGAACCATTCATACTGCCATCCCTTCTGCGTATTAAATACCTGGCAGCCCACGACAGAGTCAAACGTCATTATTCAACATACAGAACCGGATACGAAATACCAAATATAATGTTAATACCTTTTGCTATCTTGTTCTTTTGAATAGCCATGTCAGCACGACTAACGTACACATTCCCCCCCAGTATACAAAGTTTACTTCCCCCCTCCCCCGCCCATGTACCTGTCTGCCACGTAGACTGCATACATACGAGGTACATGCCCTGTTTAGCATGGTATCGACCTCACGTGAGCGTCTCTGTATGCGTTGTGATATGCATCATGCACGCCGTGCAGAAAACAATCACATTGACCTTGCATGCACGCGTGTACGTCGAGTGGGGCGACCTGCCTTTTTTTCACCTCGGGCCTTGTTGACATGTCTCTTTTTTTTTCTCTTCTACATTCAATCTCACTGCCGAGTAGAGTAATGTATGGTGTGTAGTGGAGATATTTTCCGTAGATTGCTTGAATATATCATTGCTGTTGTATTGCTGAGTTCAAGTGAGCACAGAGATGAATATAGTGAATGAGGTAGTGGGTACATTCTCATGACGTATGTAAAGAAGATGATAAACGTGGACTAAAGCTAACGACAATGTGCATTATGCTTAAACTAACAAAGTCTTTGTTTGCAATTGGAACGCTACACAAATACCACTCAATGACACTTGCCTCCATGGCACTAAAGCCCCCCAATGTGATGTAGCGCATAAAAATCCGGATACGGACACACAAAAGACCACCCTTCATTACTCTCACATCCCAAACAGAACTCGGACGGCATTGTTCAACGCTGCAGCTGTATAATCGTTGGCCGTAATGACTGCCGGGAGATCGCAAGTGGCATTAATGTAGCCCCTTCCAGCAGCGTCATCGCTAATAAGGAGCACTGCAAAAGGGATGCCGGCTATCGAGTTGTTCTCCTTGATGTCCTTTGCTATGCCCCGAGCAAACTGCAACTGTTTCTCAAACGCTTGGGCATCATATCCGAGGACATTGGCCGTGGCACAAACGACAACTATAACTGCTCCACTTGAAGGCAGAAAGTCGGCGTGCGTTTCCGTTTTGCCGTAGTCGAGGCGGTATGGCACATGTCGTACTTTTCGTGGCAGCACCCGGCCCAGAGGCTCAAACGGATCCATATCTTTTGCCAGTGTTGTGGAAGGAGGGTGGGGGACAATTGGCGTGAAGAGAGTGATTATCTCAGCTTCATTTAGATGCCGTAATCTCTCCAGAGTTCTCTTTGAACACCGTACAAGCTTAGCGTCGCCGGTGGCCGAAGCTCCATGAAGCATCTTGGTCAGATTCGATGGGCAAGGTGTTGGAAAGGTAGTCCTTGAGCAAAATGACTTGTAAATGAACGGGGTTTCTGATCTGTGTTTATACATGACCAGAGGCCAGTGTCCTTTGGATATGATCCCAACGTAGATAATTCTCCACAAGACAAATGGATAGTGCAGTAAGAGATTTCATGAGCATTTCCTGTAAAGACCACAAAAGGCTCGTGGATCAAGCTCCAGGAAAGCACTCCAACTCGCGTATCTCACCTGCAATGTAACGAGCCTGGGTTGCCGAAAAGAAGGAAAGTTGCTGTGCCGTGAGACAACAGTAATTTTTTGAGGCTAAGGCGAGGCTCGGGAACGCTAATGCTCAATAGCGAGCTAAATGGCGCAGGCCTGGTTGCGACTAATCACGAAGGTGTGGTTACCCAATATTTTCCTTCGATACTCCAGGAACAGGTCAACAAATCCAGAAACCGAGTGGTTGATGATCACAAGGTGGGTCGTAATCGTGTTCCCGGCTCCTAGAGGCTTTAGACGGTAAAATTGATTAACTAAAAGCTACCAGATGTGCATGCCGATATTATTGAAAATGATGATCGAGGTGATACCAGATCAGATCTGAGGAGGGTAGCACAAACCTTCGGCCATGCGGGCATGGCCGGCAGATAAAGCAAATAATTTGGGACTGTGTTAGGCGGAAGGAGTGCCGAGTGGCTGGCATATTTCAGTCCATGGCCACGACCGATACGTCGCAGGCATTCTGGTGGCGCGGGTGCGTATGTGGGCAGTTACTTCAACGAACGCCTCGCCGCATGGCCATGATTGTATCGGGCAGCAGCAAGATCGTGTATCGAAGGCGAACGAGATTTGATAGGATAGCACATGCGGGGCACTGTTGCAATGTGCACGTGTATGAGGAAGTGATAGTCATGGTAGTCTTGGAGCCCTACAGTACTAGCAGAAGGGAAGATGAAAGCTGTCACTCCGGACAAACCGCCTCACCGACCGGTCTGGTGGAGGATCTGTGAACGAACGCCACTCAAGATCAGGCAGCCAGCCAACAACCGGGTCAGTAGGCCAGGCACGTATCCGCGTACGTACACCATCATCAGGGGGGCGTACAGCGCGCGGGGGTGTGTACGCTCGGAGTTGACGTTGCAGAGGGAGTGATGGAGTCGATCGCTGACGTGCAAAGCAGCCCATGACCCAGAGCCAGTCGGACCGGCCAAGTCGACGCATCTTTACCTTTTGATGCTTGCCATGTAGCACCAAATGTTCAAGGTGAATGTGGAGACAGGCGAGCGCTGCGAAGCATGTTCCAGTGACGGATAGGCCATGCGGGTGACATCTGCATGATTAATTGAACCAAGCCGGAGTAGCGTGGGCGAGCCGCAGGAGCCCCAATCGGTGAGTTGACCAGTAAGTTGAGCCATTGGCTATAGAAGGAAGGGCCGAATACGCAAACGCGATGTAGTCATAGGACAGTACTGTTTGCAAGGTGGGTGGAAGAGGTGTAGCACGCACTCTTCTGGATGGATGGCTGGCTGACGGGGAGCTGCTCGCTTGTTTGGTCGCGGTCCAAACAGGCAAGGCGCAACTTCATGTCAACAACCACGACGGCAACGCGCCCGCGCAACCGCACCGAGAATCCACAACGGCCAAACGCAGTCTTATCCGATGCATGCTGGTACTGACAGCAGCATGCCATCTGTTGCTGGTAAATCGACCTGCGACCCGCCCTATGCCAGCTACTGATGGACTCGGCAGACGAGCGGCCCACGCTGCAGGAGACGCTAAACTTATTACACCAAGGTAGGCATCACTACGCGACTGTCGACTCGGTCAGGAAGAGTGCTTACAGTGGCTTGCAGCATCTAGGACACCAGCAAAGCAACGCACCATCAAGGTCTCGAGCATAGTCGATGTCATCTGCCGTTATGCCACAGAGGGCGGCCTTGACCAGGATGCTCTTCGACATGTTGTACAGCTTATATCGGTGAAGACGTCGTTAGATCAGACAACCATTACTACCCTGACCAAGAATCTGTACCCTGCCCGTCGCATACCACGTGACGTGGTCCTCACTGTTGTCGGGGCGCTTGGTCAAGGCAAAGGAAAGCCCTCGCCTGGCACCCAAGACAGTCTGGTAAAGTGGCTGATTATAGTTCATGAGATCATCGAAGAGCAGAATGTTCTCTCGCGTCTGTATAGCGTTCTATTCGGCATGCTGGATATGATCAGCATTAGGTGAGCCACTTCAGCCAGGTTGCAACCGCATGTGTGCTAAGTTTAGCAGGACGTCCTTGTGTCATCTGCTCTCGCTCATCACTCGCAGAAAGCACGTCAAGCCATTTCGCATACAGCAACTGTCAGTGTACATTTCAAAGGCAGTGCTTTGATATGGGCTACTAACGCAACTGCAGACTGGAACTTTCACGCGGACTAGGTAATGAACCCGCGTTACAGGGACTTCTCCGCGTGTACAAGGACTACTATCCCGACATCATTCTTGGAAGTACTTCCACGAGTCGCAAATCTTTCGCTCCGGTGAGTATCCGCTGCTTGTGCCACTACAAATGCAACCTCAACTCTCCCACGCTATTTCCCCGCACCCCACCGTCGTACTGCCGAACATGAACTAACTTTGCAGCGACCGGACGACGAATGGAGAGCCAGAATTGCCGCAGTCCATGAGGCCAGCAATGCTGTGGACGATTCAGGCGGGGAGGTGCAGAACGGCTTCAAGGTGCTACGAAAGGGACTCAAGGGTAGCAAAAGCTCTGCCATCCCGGAAGTGCACACCTACCATGCGACTGAAGTAAGCTCGCAGTCTGAACCGTTTAGTAGTAGACACTAACACTTTACGATATAGAGTTCAGTGACGCTCGAGGGTATCGACAGTGTTGATGATTTTGTTGAGAAACTTGATAGGATAGAGCCACCAGGTCAGCTAGTATCGTTGCTCGCGGATCCACTTTTACAAAAGTATGTGGATTTAAATCCATCACGCATTTCGACTGCCAGGATTGGTGTATGGCTTGCCGCCTGCTTGGAGGAGCAGTTCGAGGCCCATCGCCAAGGGGCTGGAGACGACGGATATCTCGATGAGATACTCAGTGGTCTCTTGAGATATGCCCAGTACACAAAGGTAAGGGCATTTATTATATCGACTCGTGCGAAGCTGACCAATCGAAGACGTTACACTCTAGTGTATTGGCTTTCTTCCGAGAGTATCTGCCACTATGGAATGAACAGGACAACCTTGACACGATTCTAGGACTACTGTCCTATATTGACATTGAGTCATTCGAAGAGGTTCATGCGACATATCTCTCCTTTGTCGAGCGGGCCATAGCGGCTCAAGGAATCCCAGCATACCCCAAACTCATTAACTTCTATACTGCTCTCGTACAGCATCATATATCGACGGCGGTCACTGACGCTGCAAATCGTGGCAGTGAAAGCAGTCAGACGTTAAGCCGTGTGACCACGCATGTTACAACATTATTC